TGCGGCGACTGAAGCTGATGGGCGGCGACGTGTGGCTGTGGCGGCTGTAGCTGATGGGGGGTGACATGTGGCTGCGGCGACTGAAGCTGATGGGCGGCGACGTGTGGCTGTGGCGGCTGTAGCTGATGGGGGGTGACATGTGGCTGCGGCGACTGAAGCTGATGGGCGGCGTGTGGCTGTGGCGGCTGAAGCTGATGGGTGGCGACCTGTGGCTGCGGCGACTGTAGCTGATGGGCGGCGACGCATGGCTGTGGCGACTGAAGCTGCTGGGCGGCGACATGTGGCTGCGGCGGCTGAAGCTTCATGACCGTGCCTTCACCACTGATTACAGATCCTTCATAGCTCTGCAACACCTTGAGTTTAGCATCTGCAGTGGCTAATGCTATTTTAATGTCCAATTCCTCCCGACCAGCTCTCAGGTAAAACTCCTGTTCCTCTAATGCCCACTTCTCCCTCAGTGCTGCTGCTTGGGCCATTAATGCTACTTTATCCAACTCGACCTTCAAACGCTCAGATGACGATCTGGATCGCACAGAGCTACTGCGCTTTGAACTTCTAGTCTGTCCTGATACTGCCACAGAAATGCTATCAGTGGGACGCACGCTTTCATCTATCCTTCTAGTTTCCTCCACATGAACATATGCTTCTTTAATCCACACGTCAACTTGTTCAATAAAGTCACAAAACACAGTTTCTTTAGGCTCAAACCAGTTCTGTTGGTCAGATTTCATGTTTTCTTCTAACCCCATGCATGTAAATTGCTCCTTGACTGCATTATTGGCCTCGATAAAGTCCTCAAAACCCGGAGTAAACCCCATTGATAACTTAGTTTTAACTATTTCTAGATTACAATCATTCTCCATAAGACGCATCAGCTCATTTTTTTTGAGAGTAAGCTGGCTTAATTTACCTCTTCTGCTGCTAATTTTCCTTTGTAAGGAGTCCTCCAATGCTTTGTATGTAGGTCTTTCACCCCGTTTCTCCTGCATGCATGCCCCACTGTTTGCTGCGCCACCGTTTGAATCTTCCATAGTGTCTTTGATAGCTCGAGGCTGCTCTCTCTCCGCGTTAATACAGCAAGTAGACTCTTCATGCACGTGCGGTTCCGGACTTCCCACTACAATCCGATGTAGTTAGTGCTGTAAAAAGCTCAATCTGGTGCGCGCACATCAAAGGCTTGCTTCCAAAGATAATGCGTTGTGTCAGTGAGGAAAGTTTTTCTACTATTGTAAGGTCCGTTTCGCTTAGTATATGAATTGTACCTACGCGTGAATTAAAAGTCCTTGATTCATACCAATAAGTAATGTGCACTGTTTAATCCATAGGTGAAAACGTAATCCATAGTTGCACGATGACCACAAGTGCAGGCAAAATCCACAGATGAACAATGACACAGCAGTATATTGTTATGTTAATCACGGTAGAAAAACTGTATGCCTCAATACTAAGCTTACAAACCGTTGTGACGGCCCTTTCGGTCTGTCAGTCCCGCCCACTCGTTACCTGTGTTCTTGTCCCTGTCTGAGTAGGTGATCAGGAGCAGGTGTGCCGTGTGAAGCGCTAATTGGGAGGGGTATGAAAAGACCTGAGGCTACTCTGGAAGAGGCCCCCCCCACTTTTGTCCCTCCTGTGGCACTTTGGATTGGTTATGTTTTTGGATATCTTTAGACTTTTG